AAAAAAAATTAGTATGCATTTTTTTTCTTATGCAAGCCAAACTATTGCTAAAAGTTAAGTCATTTGTCTTGCTTATAATCTTTCTCCTGTTTCTTAAGCAGCAACAAATTTCCTTTCATACCAAGTGCCTCAATCAATAGTGAAACATATCCCAGGAGCTGACTTAAGTATCTGTTGACAGTGTTATGGGCCTAAAGTACTATACTGTGTACCTTCGCAAAAATCTGTCAAATTCAGAATCTGTCTTTTCTTTTTTCAAACTATAAAATGAATATCTGATCCTCTGCTGTTCTGGTTACAGTTTGAATTTGTACTATATAACTAGTATCAGCTAAAGTTCAGAATCAGAGAAAACAGGATCCAAAGAAAGGCCCAGGAAAATCACCTTCCCATACATTCCCCCTCCAGCAATCTTTCCCAGCCCTCAAAAAACCTTCTCTCATTGGGGATCTTGCTCAATGGGATAACCTGGGTGCCTTTCACAAGCATTGGTATCTGTGTAATTCTGCTTTGCTGGGTTAATTTAAAAAGAAATAAGTTGGAATCTGTTTATGGATAATTGTGACATCAATTCCAATCTAAAGTCTGTTAGGTTCTCTGGTTGTTGCTGTTTTAAACATGTCTGCTTTAGACACAAGGAAAAAAAAGTGTTGTATAGATGTATTGAGACACTCCCTTTAGTACATGGGCCACCACATTCAATACCTGCTGTGATTTATGGGTAGTCTTCAGGAGCAGTTCCATGTGGAGTGAATTGCAGTAGTCAGCCAATGCCTCTTGGTCTAGGAATAGTCATAACTGGTAGACCAGCAAAGGCTGGGCAAAGACCCTTCTGGCTGCAGATTACCTGCTGATCTATCAGGAATTGCGTGTCCAGAAGGACCCACATGTTGTGAACCAGCTGCTTTTAGGAGAGCATTACTCCATCCAGAACAGACTTCTGGAACAATAGCCCCCCATGTTTATTGGCCTAATTCTGATTTTAAAATGTTTTTATCATCTTTATATAATTCAGAAGGGGAGATGTCCTATATCTACAAGGTATAAGGCAATTTACAAAATCAGCTAGTTGTTTCCACATGATTTGTATGTGTGTGTCTATGTGTGTGTGTGTGTGTGTGTGTGTGTGTGTACAATTGGGGAATTGTAATGAATAATGTCACAAACCTTCCTTTGTTTTCATAATTTTCTCAGAGAATGGGAGTAACAAAATATGTTTTGTTCCTGTTGTAGTTCCTGTTAGAAGGCATAAATATTTTTAAGTGTTAGCCCTATTAGCCCTTCCTGCAATCTTTTCTCCATAGATTGCTTCAACTGTCACTTCTCTGTTATTTCACAGTCTCTTAAGCTCTCAGTTTATGTGAATTTCCATAAAAGTGTTTACCACAATTGGATATCCCAAACTGATGTTTTCTCTAGAGGTTACATAGCACTTGGATGAGGAATTCAGATTCAGAGAACACAGATCCATACAGGGGAAAGGATTCATGCCTCCTTTTCCAAGCATTGCAGTTCTTGGTTACAAATAACATTTTTAAGAACCGCAGGAGATCCAGTTATGGATTTCTTGCCATCATATTTAGTTAGAATGAGATCAGAACCTTCTGTATTGTTCTTTTCCTTGGTAATACGCATCTTGGCTCATTTAACAATTGTTATATACCTCTTCTGTCTGCTTGTGACACATTTTGGGCAGGCTTGATTTGGGGGGAAAGTACTTTATAAATGGTTCTGCTTTGTAACAATACTATCAATTCAACCACCCTTAGTTGTTCCTACCCATTGTTAGGATATTTGTTTTCATATTTGTTGTCAGACCAGCCTGCCAAGATCCAAGAGCATTTGCAACAAACTTTTGTCACAGCATTTATTTTGTTATAGGATACAATCAGCTGACTTTAATTACATCAAGACCTGATGCTGGAAATTTCTTGGGAGAAATTTCTATCTTTTGATTAGTTGCTTATAGTTAATTCTGTTAAGGTCCCATAAAGATGCATGCTGCATACTTTCTGCATAATTTCTTTATGTTTCCAGTTTTAAGTAAAGCAATATATTTTGGATCAGCATGCAGTTAAAGTTCTCTCTTAAGAATCAGGGGAGAAAGATTCTGAGGAGAGAAGACTGACTTTGGAAGTTGTGGAGACTTCTGTTAGTTGTTGGTCAATGGCAGTTGATGACTGAAAGACCAAGAGAAGCAGATTCCACTCTGGATTGGAGAAAGGAGTTTTGTTTTAATCTTCATTTCCTTGGACAATAGGAGTAGTAATTTAGTGAATGGATTATGTGAGGCAGATGCACTAGGATATTTGTTTAAAACATTAGGTAATATTCTCTAAGAGTCACAAGGTGACTTTTAACCAGTTACTTTTTTCAACCCAACCTGTCTCGCAGAATTGTTGTTATGGGGGGAAAATGTAGAGAATGCTATATTCACTGCCTCAAACTCCTGAAGGAAAGGTGGGATATAAATCTAACAATTAAACAAGTTTCTACTTGCCAAGATAATGTTTGTGTACCTTACAATTATATATATATATATTTTTTTCTTTGATTGCATTGCTCAATTAGGACCAGTCCCTTAATTACCATACACTGGCATGGCATGGCCAACTGGTTTCATATAGTCATCTCCAACTAAGAGTAAAACTCCCAGGGATTTCCTGTTTTGCCCTGAGAGGAGAACACTCTTGTAGAAGGAATAGGGAATCACCTTGATGGACAGGAAGAAGAGCTATCAAAGCAACAGTCAGATAAGTGGGGCTTGAGCTTAAGCTAAGAAAATAACTTGAGAAAACATCTCAGACAAGTCCCTCCCTAGTTCACCTGAAGATAAAGGGAGGAGGGGGAACCACATTCTGACTACAATGAACGTAGTCCTGACCTATATGGCATTAGTTCCTTAGTTTGGTCTACTTTGTAGGGCTGACAACTCTCCCCACAAAAACAGATATGACAGCCGAGACAAAAACAGATATGTAGAGTGAAGTGTCCAAGTTGAGTTTGACTCTTGTAGACTTCATGGACACATCCATGGAGTTTTTCCTGCAACAGCACAGAACTGGTTCGCTGATTTCCCTGTTTAGCTTTCAGCGCTGGAATTCCTTGACTCTTTCTAAACCAGACTGGCCAGCTAAGTGTTGTCACATACTGAGAAAAGAAGAGCATTTCTACCCCATATAGTGCATACCCTTTGGGTAAGCTTCACTGGCAGTTGGTTAAGAAAAAGGCTAGAAATACTGTGGTGGAGGATGTTTTCTATCACATTTCTTTGAAAAGTACTATATATTCTTATCATATCCAAATCTATATTTACTGAGATCGTAGAAATACAAGAATACTAGGAAAAGAAACTTACAGAAAATTTCATGGACAGGAAAGGGAAAAGAACATACAGACCCAAACTTGCTGAGGCTGTTTTTATAGTGGGAATCTTATTTTCTGTTTCAAAATTCTTTGGGTTTTATACAATGTTTTTACTATGGTGGTCTTTGGGTCTATGACCATAATAAAGTCTTATCTATCCATTTCTCTTTCTTTCCCTCTTTGGTGAGAGGGGAATTTGCCCAGTAGATTGGTGGGAATAGTTCAAACACTTTCCTCACTTTGTGGAATGTTAAATACAGGTAGTCCTCGCTTAATGACCCTAATTGGAATCGGAATTTCCTTTCCTAAGTGAAGCAGTTGTTAGGCTGCTTCAGAATTATAGAATCAATTATACTATTAGAATTAATTATACTATTAGAATAAATAGAATTAATTATACTATTCTTATAAAGCTCTCTGTTAACACCACTTAGCAACAGCAGTTCCTGTAGTCCCAGTTGTGATCGTTAGGTGAGGACCTCCTGCATCTCTTACTTTGCGTGAACTTCCGGCTTCATCCGTTGGCTTCCTCCCCAGCTGGCCCCAGTGAGCTCCCTTCAGCAGACAAAGCTCCACCACCCTGCCACACTCGCCTCCCCTTCAGCTCCTCTCACCTGCCTATCTCCCCCCTCCATCTCTGCCCTTTTGGCCACCCTGGACTCTGCCACCACCGCCTACCCTTGCTACCCCCCACTGCCCCCCTGCTGACCTATGCCATCTTCTTCCTCCCACTGCTGGCCCAGGATCCAGGCACTGGATGAGGGTGAGGCCCCAGGATGCACATGGCGAGCGCGGGAGGGCAGCAGAGCTTCGTCTACCAAAGGGAACTCACCAGGCCCAGCAGGAGGCAGCAGGACGAAGCCGGCAGAGGAGGCAGGGTGGCGATGTGGGCAGTGGCTCCCCGGGTGAAGGTGGTGGCTGTCAGGGCTGTGGCAGGCCTTGCGTAAGGCTTGCAAGGCCTTGCACAGCACCAACAGCCGCCGCCTGCTCCACTGCCCAACCTCCTCCGCTGGCTCTGTCCTCTGCTTCCTCCCTGGCCTGCAGAATTTGTAAAAAAAAAAAAAAATGAAATCAGATAGTCCACTTATATTCCATCTTTACTGGCTACACAAATATCCATCCAAAGTTGGCAATATCCAGGCTAAAATTATTTTCAATTAATTATTCAGTATATTGCAGTAGTATGAATCATGTAAAATTATTTCTGTAACAGATAACAACCATAACTTTGGAAATGCTTTTACTACTAAGTGAATCCTAAAAATAAATAGAAAATAAGCTGGTCAGAAAAGACTACTATAGGATGCAGAACTACATTTATAAAGTTTTATGCTTTCAATCCACTGTAGTTAACTATTTACATTCCTTGTGTATTCCTTTGCTTTATACCTCTTAAAACACAGAACGTTTTTATAAACCTTGTCCCATAGCGCTTGGCATATGATGGCCTTTTATTTCCTTTCCCAGAAATTCTTTGCTTTAAGGGATTAAGGGACTGGAGCAGAGCTGGGTTCATTCTTTTCTATGGGCCATGAAGAACATTATGGTCTTCCACTTCATGGTCCTACCTATGTATGGAGTGGTTTTCAGCTTACAATTGTAGAAGTGTAACTCCTGGTTCATTGTTCCCTTAGATGAGCACTATGCCTGGGTTACCTACAAGGCCTTGCTTCTATGATATTGACCTGGATCCTGATACAGAACAAGTGAAAGGATTGTTTTGAAGGTACGAGCAAGAACACTACGTTAGGTAAGTGACTTACAGAAATGCCATGTGCCCCTTTTTCAAGAATGTTCTGTATCCAGCCTTCATGTTTTTAAGCCTTTCCTTCAAAGCTTCCTGATAAAATAAGAAAGGGGCAAAATAAAAATATGGGTTGCATTCCCCAGATAATTACAGTGTCTCTTTGACCAACAAGCATATGCTTTACTTTTAAGTATAGTATAATTTATTTTAAAAAGATCCTCAGGATGCACTCACAACTAATTAAAGTCAGTGGCAAAACAGCTGTTAATTTTAATGACTCTGCACTGCACATGAAGTGTTTGTTTACGAAGGAGTTATACTTATACACTAAATAGATGAAGCAGAATTGAACTGCTCTTGTTAGGGTGGTAGTTAGCAATCTCAATCCTACCATGACTTCCTCCTTCAGGGAAGGTGCAGAGCAGCCAACAAACATATACACGTTGTAAACAAACAAAACAGAACTTTTCTGTTGCTATGATGTATTGATCATAGAATCATAATATTGGAAGGGACTATTTAGTCCACAGAGTGGGGAGTCCACTCACTGCTCGGTGCATGAATTTAAACTGAAATCTTCCTGACAAATGGCTTTCCAACATCTACATAAATACATTCAATGAAGGGGAGTCAACCAGCTTCCCAGGTAATAGGTTCTACTCTCAAACTGCTCCTACTGCTGAACATGTTTCTAACATTTAATCAGAATTTGCCTTCCTGCAATTTCAACCCATTATTCTGTGTTCCATTTTTGGAATGATAGAAAACACATGATGACCTTCTTTTGTGTGATATTCTCCCAGATATTTGAAGAGTATTATGAAATTATTGCTTATTCTTTCCCAAACATTCTTTATTCCTTCTATCTCTCTTCACAGAACTATAGCAATGAACTTACTTTACAAGTTGTATAGAAATACATGGTGCAAAGAAACTTTATCTGATACATTATCCATATTTCCTACAGTATTGGTAATGTTAAGATGGTTCTATCCATACTTTCACATTTATCCTTGGAACCTAGTATTTGTTCAATGTATGTGACATTATTGTGATAGTATATGAAACAGGAAAAATTAATATATTTTTCTTGATCAAACATAATAGATATATATTATTATTTTTATTATAAACCACCTCAAACATAATATGTATTATTATTTTTATTGTAAACCACCCTGAAATTTTTAAAATAAGTGGTATATGAATATTTCAGATAAGTATGTGAAAATTAAAATGTGGAACAGTTAAAAGTTAGTTTTGATTTACTCTTAACACAACCACATTACAGATAATTTACCATCTGACATCCTTTTTAGAAAACCAAAAGACTCAATTATTTATACAATGAAAAAGAGAATCCTTAATTCTTTTTTTTCCTTCTACTTTCCAGAGCCTTGAAAAAATAAATTGCAGCTTCTCCACTTCCTGAAGCAAGCAACAATGAATTTGAAGGATGCTTGTAACTTATCTTGGAAGAATATTGTGATAGACTAAAGCACGAAAAATAAGCTCACCCCTAAAAACATTCTATATTGACAAACCAAAGGAAGAACAACCAAAAAAACTGTACTGTTCCATTATAACCAGTGCAGTGAAAGGTTTTGCCGAACGTGCTGCTGTTTACACACTGACTGTTTACTGTACTAGATGTGGGGAATGAAAGAGGGGAATGCATAGTGATTTGGGGGAAAAGTAGATGGTGAATACTTGCCACTCTTAAGATGATACATTTGAACTAATATGCAAAGTTTGAGGTTAATGTCAATTAGGAAAGCAAAATGAAGAAATGAGGCTTTTTGATATATTTAATCCATTTCATAGGCACTGTGCAGCTTTTTGCATTCAGCCATGGAAACATCATAAAAATTAGCTGGAAATATGTTACTCTGGGCACTGCTAGGCAGAACTGGGGGGCGGTCAAGTTAGGATTTCAAACGAGTGCAGTGCTCATAATCTCATGTCTCTCATCAGCACTGCTTTCTGTCAAATAAGTTTGGACTTAATGCCTTGCCTTGAGCTATTTTGTTTGACTCTTCTAGATATCCCAAATGATAACAGGCATTCCTTCATTTTACAGTCAATGGAAGTAAACAACAATTTATTGTGCAGCCTCCAACTTTAAAGAAATGTGCCATAGGTTCAGTCTGTCTCCTGGTAGAAGTTTTGCCCTTTTTTGGACAGAACTTTAAATGGAGCATTTGAAATATGAGAATGGAGACACAGAACCACACACTGTTATGTAAATTTAAGACCCACTGAAATGAACAAAACTGCACTGCTTTAAGTAATACTTAGTGTAAGACAAATTAAAATGCATTTGTTTATTGCAAAAATATTTCTTCCATGCCATTTGGGGGACTGATAATAGAAACTCTTTGAGCTGCATCTTTGAGACCATGTTTTAGAACTACATACACCATGATACCTGGAATGACTGAGGCTCTCTGGGAGAAAGAGTAATTAGGTACCCATTCAGTGTGTCTGCAGCTGACAGTATTCTTTCTCTATTGCTGGCAGATGCTCTTGTGGGGGGTTAGTAGCAAGGAGAAGCAGAAGTTCTTACCTTGTGCTTAGAGCAAATTATATCTCTGCTAAATTCACATCTCAGTTACATGCAAATAGAACACATTTTAAATCAGAGGTGAGAAACCTCTGGCTAATGAGAAAGATGCAGCTAATAAAACACCCACTTTTGGCTTGCAGAGGGTTTGCCTCATGCCTGAAACTGACCCTCACTTTATTCACTTTCTCCTTTCCAAATATGGAAGAAAGTGTTTGCTCCATTGTTCTGTCCTGAGGAAAGTCTGCCTTCTTTTTCCCATGTGCCTAGGAAGAGAAATAAGCCAGAATTTAATTTGCTTTAGCAAATTCCTGGTGAACCATTATATAAGAACTAGGCATTAAATGTCCTTTGTAAACAAGCAAGAAACAACTGAACATTCATTTTGGTCATGTTGATTAAAGTTTATTTAAACAAACCGGGAATTTGCTACAGAGTAAATTAAATTCTGGTTTATTCCTCCTCTTGGAAGTATACAGAAGAAGTCATCCAAGGCTTCTTATGGGATCCTTTCTGTTCATGCATATAGTCTAAAATTAATGACTTAGCATTATGCTCATAGACAATGCTTCAGACTACAATATATTTTAACAGAGACTATTATTCCTCATTGCTGCTGATTATTGTCTGAGAATACACCAAAATGCACTGGCTTTTCTAGTTTTTATTGTATATAGAAAACAAATTGCATTTCCTCCAAGAAGATACTTTCCTCTTTGGTTCAGTCAGATGCTCTGCAATCTGGAGTAGGACATATAACACATTAAGTGCCTGAAAATAAACTCATTTTAATCCTCAAAACTACTTGGCTAACATTTGTGACAGCTGAAATTCATTCATTTTGTCAATAATAATTTCATATGATTACAAAAGCATAGCTCTTGTAGTGTAGATAATATGATTCATTTTCTGCATTCTTATTAAGCAGCACTGGATACATTAGTGGGGCAGATTTTATAATAAAAGTAAAAAAATGGCTTTGTCCAGTGATAATCCATAACAGTGTTTCTCAACCTTAGTAACTTTAAAATGTGTGGACTTCAGCGCCAGAACTCCCCTTCCAGTGTGCTAGCTGGGGAATTCTGGGAGTTGAAGTCCACATATCTTAAAGTTACTAAGGCTGAGAAACACTGGTCTAAAACGTAATAATATGTAAACAGCATTAGGAAGTGAAAGCAGATATTAGGTAGTATGCAAATACCTCCTCAGCGATAGGATCTTTTTTTTAAAAAAACTAGCATTTCACTCGCTGGTAGCCCTAACTCAGCCACTAAATCTTCACCTGTTCCTTCAGACAGGCAGAGGTGGGGAGAAGAACAAAAAATAGAGTTGTGAGCTGTACAAGCTATAGCATGTATGCTGTGGGTAAAGCTGCAGCCTTAGATACACTTATGAGAGAATGAGCCGTACTAAATGCAATGGGTATTTCTGAGTATACACATTGAATAAATTGTGCTGGGGGGGCTACTTAGTTACCTTTACGTTGACATGTTCAGGACTGATTTACATCTTTAACTTCAGCTGTCGTTGCTTACCTAAATGACTGCAAGACTTTGATTAAACCATCCTGCATAAAAATTCAATGCTTTAGTACGAGAATATATGAACGTTAAATTATTTTTCATAAAATAGAGAAACCATGGGTGACTGGCTTAAAAGCCATCCTCAGTGTCCAGATTTTTATTAAACTAATTCTGTTCTATGGAATATATGTCTGCCTCCTTGGTAGTCAGTGAAATAGAAAATGTAATAAATAAAAATAAAATAGTAATATACATTTCGTTATGTTCCGTTAAAAAAAGTATAAATTAAATTTTACAGGAGAGAAACTAGAAAATAAGGCTGCTGGTTTAGAAGCATCTGATGACAAAACAAAGGCTGTGGGACAGTTGCTTAATTGCACAACGTGAGTTTCCAGTCATTCTGTTTATCTAACAAATCAGCTAAACTGAAATATTTCTACAAGCATGGTCATAATAGCAACTCCCGGTTCAGTAATCCAAACTGTAGCATTTTTTATATACACATTCAAATATGAGTAAGTTCGTAGGCATTTGAAAAAGGAGGAGGTTTTTTTGTGTGTAAAAGCTCAAATATTTATTCACAAAGTAAACTTTTTTTCATTCAAAAGGTTTTAAGGACATTTGGAAGAAATTAACTTGAATAAGCTGTCAGACAATAAAGAGCTTGGCAAAAGAAATGGACTTAGCAGCCTGTGAATTTGAAAAGAAGGAAAGAGAGAAGGGATCATTTACTGCATTACCAAAATGTTCATCACTTACATTGGTTTTAGTCTTAAAAAAAGACCCCAACCATTATTTTCTTTATACAAGTCACATTATTTAATTCATAAGCACAGTAGGAATATAGTTTACCTCTGGATTGCCAACATTCCTTACAGCTTCTGCCGTTTCACAGCCTGGGTTAAAAACTCAAGCCTCCAAACAACAAACATAGCTCAACCTTTCTGAGTCAAAACAGGATTTAATGACTATCACCAATTCTTTTGTCTTCTGTTTCTAAAGAGGGGAGATCTTTTTGCTTGTCTTTTAGACTATAGGTATCATATCCCACAGATACATCTGATTAAAGTTTTTCTCACTAAAAAATCCAGAATCTGAAGCCATCCAGTGAAACTAAATGGCAGGAGATTCAAGTCACTTCTATAGATAGCTGCACAAGGGAACTGGGCACAAATGGAACATAAAACTATCAATGGCTACTTCTAATGAGTATATTGCCTCTCCTAATGAGATGATAGAGCTCCTTTTGATACTGGTTGGTGGAAAACTTAGGTGAAAAGGCACTAAATGTTATTTATAGTCTTCTCATTGGAATGTCATTTGTCATGGCAAGTGAATTCATGGTTTACATTACCTTGATTATTTAATTTATAATGAAAATTGTCTTTAGACTTGAAGTTTATTTAAGTCCGCTAAAGAAAGGAGACTTAACAGAGTGTACAAACTATCGTACGCTATCCTTATTTTCACATGCTAGCAAAATCATGCTTAGGGTCATCCAATGCAGATTAGAGCCCTACCTGCAATGGCAGAGGTTCAAGCTGGCTTTAGAAAAAGTCAGGGAACATGAGACATTATTGCTGATGTTTGCAGGATAACTGAGAAACCCAAAGAATACCAAAAAGGAGTCAGAGTGGGCTTCATTGATTACGGAAAGGCCTTCAGTTGTGTTGACCATGTCAACCTATGTAATGTGCTTAGAAAAAGGGGAATCCCAGAACATCTCATTGACCTCATTCAAAACCTAGACACAGATTAGGAAGCCACAATATGAACAAAACATGGAGAAACAGACTGGGTCCAGGTTGGCAAAGGAGTACGACTCTTCCCTTATTTGTTTAACCTATTTGTGGAATATATATTGAAGAAAGCTAGATTGGAAGAAGATGAGTGTGATTTTAAAACTGGAGGAAGAAACATCAATAATCTGCGCTATGCTGATGATGTACTCTGATGGCTGAAAATGCAAGGGATCTGCAAGCTCCAGTAATGAAAGTCAAGAAGCATAGTGGGAAAAAAATGGGACTAAGATTAAATATAAAGAAGGCTATGCTGATGACAACTGGTACAGCAACCAGCCTTAGAACTGACAATGAAGATAGTGAAGTGGTGGATAGCTTCTGCCTTTTAGGATGAACTATCAACTGTAAAGGAACTAACAGTTAAGATATAGGTTGCAAACTAGCACCTGAAAAGATATTCAGATGCTAGGATGTGTCCTTACCTATAAAGATCAGAATAGTGCAAACAATGATATTCCCTGTGTCACTCCATGCAAATAAAAGCTGAACTTTGAAGAAGCAGGGTAGAAAAAGTATTGATGCTTTTAAACATTGGGGTTGGAGAAAACTCCTGACAATATCACAGACAGCCAAGGAAACAAACAAATGGATCATTTTGCCCGGCTACCCCCCCCCCAACTCAACTGAATTACCAGCTGAGCTGTTTTAGGATATAGATTTAGTATTCTTCCAAAAGAGTTCAGAAATAACCCAAATAACAGGTTATCAGTACAGAGAATCTCTGCACCGATGAACAACATAGATAGTTTGAAACGTGGCTAAAACCTCCAGTCCAAGAACATGTATTAAAACCTTCCCTGAACCCCAGAGCAACAATTGGTGGATGTTTTCTGGCCACCATGTGATACTTGTATGGGAGGAGAAATGCAGGCAGTAGATCTACCAATCGCTGCCCTTTAATTCCCCATGTTGAAATGACCAGTTGCCAACTTAATTACTGAGGTAAGAGAGGGTTTGGCCACCAGGTCAGTGCAATTTATGTCAACGTGCTTTTCTGCCTATTCAAGGATAGGAGGAAAGCACATTAACACAGTTCAGTATAGTTCTAGGACAGATAGTAACAGCCTCTGAGAGTAATGTTATCAGGTGTCTATGTTTTTGAGCTGACTACAAGTCCCAGCAGCCCCAGCCTGCTCAGCCAAATGCTAAGGAATGCTGGCATCATCTGCAGGGCCATTGCTTCACCACCATAGACCCCAAATAGGCTCAAACAAGGACCGACAACCACGATGTGGCCCAAGAAGAACGTCTCTCACTGTTTACACTCCAGATCCTGCATGAGAAGCTTTCCTCTTCCTGCCCCGCCTGTTAGCCTGTGGTCAGGGGGATGTATTGGAGTAGTTTTCAGGCTTCCAAATCTTTATGTTGCTACAGTTGAATACAGCTGCCATTCTGTAAATGGTTAGAATAGAGAGTATTTTATTTAACCAGATGGAGTAAAAGCAGCTAATAAAGTAGAATTCGCTCCACAAAGGTATATGCTGCATTATACTTGGTACTGCTTAAGGCAGTGTTTCTCAGCCTTGGCAAGTTTAAGATCCATCTTAAACTTGCCAAGGTTGAGAAACATTGGTTTAAGGAGTCACAAAATTCATTGCTACTGTTAAACAGTCCTGTTAAAATATAAAGACTGGTGGAAAGTTCATAAACAATTTTTTTTATGCTTGCATACTCATAGCAAACATAAATATCCCTTCATCCTAATGGCAGATTTCTTGGTATGCCTACATATGTGCTAGCATGAAAATACCTGTCAGATCTAATCCTTCTAAAGCTTGGATAGCTACAAGGCGAACTGCAGAAGCCAAATATACAATTGCTTCCTACTTTGTTTAAACATTGAGCCAATCGCATAAATGTGTACTGGCCTCGGTATATAAATGGTGGCTGCTGATATATATCTTCTCAAATCAGACACTGGCATTTGTCAGATTTACACTTAGGTCATTCTATATGGTTGTACGGAAACCTTGAAGCAATGCCAGAATCCTGCAGCTGTCACTAGTGCAAAATAAACAGACATGATAAATGGCTTGTTCACAGATAGCTACCCCTGAGCATGTGGGCTTATATCTTGCTTAGTAGTTCATTAGTATGGAAAAAGTCAAGTCCTGACCGTAGTTATAATTCCATAGGAGACATCACGAAAATAGTTGCATGGCTAAAATACTGTGGTTCCTGTTCTACATTTTGGCCTGAATCTTGTTTGTTACAATGCAGGGTGAAAACATTGTTCATCCTGATATCTCTGGATGGTACTCTTGTATTATTACTGGTGCTTATATTATCTTGTGAGTTTGATTCCTGATACTATCTATTTTTAATATTGCATACCACTTGGAGATGCTTGGAAGTGGTTATCAAGTTTTTAAATAAAGAAATAAAAAAAATTATGGTAGGTATTTATATGAGATATTTTAAGTTTGAAAAAGTAAGATAATCTATTACTTGACAGCTATCACATACACCTAGACAGCAAATTTTGGACATTCATTGAAGAGTATGTAGTTTTGGATTTTGGAGGATTGATGCTACCACCCATAAACTCCAGGATAAAAGACTATCCACTCTGCCTTTATTGAAAATCAGCTCTCCCAAGATACTGAAGTTGATCA